CATCCTTTCATTTGAGTTTTATGATGTATTTCAATAACTGTGAAATTTCATGTATCACTGAGATGCGTCGTGGGAGAATCAACCGTGGTATTTTAAAGTGATGATAATGGTCACTATTACGTTTTTTTTAATATCTGGTAGAATATAAATTGATAATTGATATTTGACTGTTCACGTGAAGAAGTATACAAATGTTGGTCGTGTATTGAAAGTTTACATATAATTTATATTTACCATGAGTGAAAATTCAAAGCGTGCATGCAGTCATTGAAAATGAACTTAATATTCGTTTAAATTAACAGTGAATGTGGAGAGTTTTACAACTTTAATTTTTTTTTTGTTTTAGAAAGTAGACATTTAAAAAAAAAATCTGTTCTTATTTATTTTAATAAATATATATTTTAACTGTTGAACTCGTCCCCCCCATCCCCCCCCCCCCCAAAAAAAAAAAAAATTAAATAAACTAGAAACCAATTCAAATATAAATTCATAATTTTGTATGCCTCAACATTTCTAGTTTTTGTATAGAGATTTAAAGGTCTATTGCTATGCTTGTGTCAGTCCAACGAAATGTCATCAAACACTGCTTTTAAATGTTTTATTTGGTTTGTTACACACGTCTTTAAAAACAACAACAAAAAATACATCTAAAAAAACAAAACAACACATTTTATTTGAAAAAGGCTTACAACTATATTTTGGTTTAAAATATATCAGGTACAATAATCTCATAAATTTTCCTTCTAGTCAACATCTAGCGCAACTGCTCTCAACCTGTGTGTCATGACCCATTTGGGGGGACAAACGGCCCTTCACGGGGGTCGCCTAAGACCACGGGAAAACGCATGTTTTGAATTATCAGCGAAAATAATGTTATGGCTGGGGGGTTCACCGCAACTTGGCGAATTGTACTAAAGTGTCGCGGCATTAGGAAGGTTGAGAACCACTGCTCTAATGCTTCTTAAACTGGTATACTTGTCTCTCTTTTCAAACATCAGAGCATAAGGAATGCGCCCTACTTATCTAGCAGTACGGACACTGCCCAGGCTCTTGAATACATACGAATACGAGACAAGTTTGGTGCAGGAGCCGGGGGAAGGCCTAGAGCTGTCAAGATTCTTATTACCTTGACCGATGGCTTATCTCATTACCCCAACACAAGTAAGTCTTGTGGATTTTTCTTGGCATACATTTTTTTATTATTATTTATTTTAAAAAACAATATTTTTCTAAAAATTAATAGACGTTTTCATGAAATTTTAAAATAATGGTAATGTTCGTTTGATAGAATGGCAAACATAGAAAGTAGTATATTAAGAAGCAATCATTATCTCCTCTCAGGAATAAAATATAATCAATAGTTTTAAAAATAAAATAATAAATGAAATTAATAAATAAATATAATTTAAGTAAACGTTTAAAAGAATGCATCTGAAAAAAGTAAGAAAAAAATTAAGTAAAAAAAAAGGGGGGGAAAAAAGTAAGAAAAAATAAATAGGAAAAAAAGTAAGCAAAGAAACAGAAAAGCAAGTTTAAAAAAAAGTAAGTATCCAAGTTTTTAAAAAGTAAGAAAACAGAAAGAGAAAGTAAGAATGAAAGCTTTTTTTCTAATTAAAAAAGTACGAATTTTTTTAATAGGAAAAAACTAGAAAATTTTTTTTTTTTTTTAAGTTTTTTGAAAAGGAAGAAAAAAGTTAGAAAGGAAGAAAAATAAGAAAAAACATAAGGAGAAAAGTAAGGGGGGGCAATGGTTAAATATTGGGAACACGGGCCTTTCAATCAAAATCAGGGATATCATTGTTTCCCCAAGTAATGGAAACAACAGCTTGTTGCTAGTTTGGGGGGATCACATTATTTATTCGACGAAACCACTTATTGACAGCTGTCATCTAACCAGCACTTGCTACTGAGCGAGTCATAAAGTTTTTTTTGTTTGTTTTTTTTTTAATGCAAAACTTAAAATGTCGTTTGTATGAAATTTGGCCCTTTGTTCCACGACTTAAAAACATTGAATGCATTAGCATTTCCTTTGATATGGCTCATTGTTTTGTTTGCTTAATCTTATGAAATATTCTTGTAAATTCGTAAATACTGGTCATTCTGGAATTCGAGCGGCAGGGCTCGGTTTTGAGAATATGGCATATCTTTTCTTAAATATAAAATGCATTGAAAGACACATGGCTGCTTCAAATATTATTTTACATGTTATTTTAACAAAACAAAAGTATCAAACATTTACGGTAAGCACTATCCCTGTGTGATTCAAAATGATGAAGGATAAAAAAAGGGGGGTTCTTTTGAAGATGTTTTTTTTTAAACCGCTTCACACAGATGGTTGCGACACAAATCATTCCCCACGCTTTATTTTAAATTAAAGCTATTTGAAAATAATCGCTTGATTGATCTCAATCAGCTCTAGCGGCTGCACTACAATAAAAATTAATATTATCACAACTGTATAATACCCAGCGAATGTGTTCCTCAGCGAGGGAGGCTGCCACACGTTTGAAAAATTTGGGCTACCACATGATATCGGTCGGGATTGGGCATAAAGTGGACGATTCTGAGTTGCGTACCTTGGCCAGCAATGACAGCAACGTGTTCAAGGTCGATTCCTTCCAAGCCTTGAACAAGCGGCTCCACGAAGAGGTCATCACCCGCGCCTGTCAGAGTAAGTATATCAGCCGTAATTGTCAGAGTAAGTATATCAGCCGTACCTGTCAGAGTAAGTATGTCAGCCGTACCTGTCAGAGTAAGTTTATCACACGCACCTGTCAGAGTAAGTGTACTGGAAATCATCTTTCAGTCTTCAGTTAACACTGTAGGTTTCCTGTCGGTACTTCTTGGGGTAAGTAGGATATCAAAATTTGACCGAATTTTACCAAAACGATTTCTTAAATAATTGTAAACAGGTAAATTTTCGGTGACAATACTATATTTTTAAAAATCCCCTCTACAAGAAGTTGGAATTGTTACAACTCGTTTCTCTTATTTGAGACTCGTTAGCACTCGTTATTGCCATTTTGCAAATGATTTATGAGTCTCGTGCTTTAAGGATGGTTTTGCTTCGAGATAAAGAGACGTGTCGATAAGTTAAAAAACAATTTCTAGATTAGCAATGGGGAGTCGGGTTTGAAGGTGAGGGGAACAAGTTTTACACTCCAATCTGAAAATGTCCATCGTTAGGCTTAAATTTTGGTTTAGTTCTTGACTTAGCTGCTGACAGATATCTTTTCAAACAAAACTCTTCATTAATTCTAGTCGATCACTTTCAGATTTCTTTATCAGACTGTTCATTTATACTAAACTACCATTTTCTAGGAATTTGAAATATATATATCACTTTAGAATCGCTTTCGTCCAATGGAGCGTAGTCTATTTCTGCACATGATTTTACAGCCAGCATTAGGCCTGACTAATGCGCCCTCCTTTGCAAATCAACTTTTATTTGTGATATTTCTTACTCCACTAGAAATGAAGGTTTAAAAAATGTGGCGTCTTCATTTCCTTTCAACTGTTAATCATGATTATATTTTTCTAATGATTGATTTCATCCCTCCACAGTTACTTCAGGGGGTAATCTTCCGGGTAAGTGAACCGCATTGTCTGTACACATTGTCTGTACACATTGTCTGTACACATTGTCTGTACACATTGTCTGTACACATTGTCTGTACACATTGTCTGTACACATTGTCTGTACACATTGTCTGTACACATTGTCTGTACACATTGTCTGTACACATTGTCTGTACACATTGTCTGTACACATTGTCTGTACACATTGTGCACATTGCCTGTATACGTCCGCCTTTGGTCCGTTTAGCATGTCATTGTGATTCATTTCATTTAAAATTTACATCCAAATGTATAAATGAATACTTTGAAAAGGTGAGGATTTTGTATCAAAATAATTACTTTACATGTTAAGATAAAGCAGTGTATGCGATCATAAATGCTTAAGAAGTAGGCAACAACAATTCAAGTAATCAATCATGCGTCACAAAGTAAATTCTGTGTTACAATAACAATCCAGCGTAATAAAGTCATCATACCTCACACGGTGTAACATGCCTCACAAAAACTCAATTATGCATTGCATAAAACCAAAATTGTTCTTGAAAAAGATGACAAAAAGATGGCAAAGACGTGAAAGCTATGCCACCCTGTAACAATACTGTTCGCAAAAGAAAGTAAATTAAATGAGAGAAGATTTTGAAATATAAGGTTTTGAAAAGCTGGGGAAAAAAACATTCTCAGTGCAAATGGATGAATGAACTTTGAAAGACAGTGGGGCCGTACTGATAACTTAATATATTGAGATATTGAGAAAGGAAATTTTGCTGAAGAAATATTCTTCTGTAAATCATTAGAGAGCACCACTACTGCCAAAAAATTACTTAGTGGTCAATAATATACCAATAAAATCAAAATATAATATCCTGTGCTGCAGATGGTGCTCCTAATATGATGGACACAAAAATGGCTGCTTTAAAATGATAAAACAAGGAATAATAAATGAAATGATAAATAATTAAAATATTTGAGAAAAGCTTTCATTTTGCACTTGAATTACAGTTCTCCATCATGTGTTTAAAAAAATTAATTTCTGTGTTTCCTTAAGAATTTCTTCGTAAATCCTATTTATTCCAAATCCATTTCCTCCTTCCTTCCTAAAACCTGTCATTTAGTTTTCATTTAGTGAGATTCAATTCAATGTATGAATATAAAAATGTGCATGCATATATATATTCCTCTCTTATTGATAGTTATTCCTCGAAATATTCCTATACCCCCTATCTTATATTTATTTATATGTATATATATATATATAAATAAATATATAGTACATATACATATAAATAAATATAAGCTAGGGGGCATAGGAATATTAGAAAGGCTTAGGTTTGTCATGGCACAAAAAAGGTTGGGAAACACTGCTGTAGACTATACACATTTTTAGCACTGTAGACTTTTCACATTTTTTTTTTATCACTTTAGACTATTCCCATTTTTGCCGAGAGCAAAACATACTGAACGGAATCTTCAGCTATCCGGGAGACTGCACACTGTTCATCCGGTGCTCGTCACTGGACACCATCATAGAACCTTGCCCTTACGGCCAGGCCTTTAACCCTGCCTCGGGCTCCTGCCAAAATGACGAATCTGCCAGGCTATGTCAGGGCATCGGTCAGTTACCTGGCCAAACTACAGTCCAAACATACTTAGGTAAATATCCCTCGGGTGAACTAAGAACTCGTGCAAGTGTGTCAATTTACTAAACTTTTTAACGCGTTGTATTTTATTTTATTTTAATGGTTTCGTCCAACAAAATTAAAATAGAATAAAACGAAAGAATATATTTTTCAATTGTTTCACTTCTAATTCTAATTCTCTGACACAATCGATTGTAATATTCTCTTCCCTTTCCTCATTTATAAAATTATAAAAACACATTTATGAATTCATTGTAGCTATTATCTCACTATCTCCCCCCCCCCCCTTCTTGTTATTGATTTCTTCCAGATGTATCCGACCATTGCCGTAGGTCTAATTATAGGGATGGAATCCACTCACATCCCTACACGTGTGAGGTGTTTTCCTTTCCTCATTTATAAAATTATAAAAACACATTTATGAATTCATTGTAGCTATTATCTCACTATCCCCCCCCCCCCCCTTCTTGTTATTGATTTCTTCCAGATGTATCCGACCATTGCCGTAGGTCTAATTATAGGGATGGAATCCACTCACATCCCTACACGTGTGAGGTGTATCTAAAATGTGTGGACTACGTCACCCATTTCTTGATCTGTCCCAACAACACTTTGTTCGACCCAATACCTCGTGGCTGCGTGAGTTCTTCCATAGCACGGCCGTGCAACGATGCCATCGCGCAATCTTATGGTAAGCTCAAATCCCGATGGGCCAACATTTAATCAGGTCCCCCGCACTCAAAAAACCATCACAATCACATATTACAATTCCTAACTAAAAAGCATTCTTAAGAAGATAATCATATCACCACCTAGCACCATCCACAGAAACATCATCTTCTCATCATACAAAACCATCCCATCACATAACACCATCATAAGATGCGTCACCATCTCATTGCAAAAAAAAACAACAACATCCCACCTCAAATCACCATCCCATCACATATTATCCCCATACCATCACCATATCATCACCATACCATAACAAATCACCATAACATCACATATCATCATCTCATCACATATCGCAATCTTATCACAAAACCTAGGACACATGACAATGTCATCATACATCACTCTCCCTTCACATATGACCATCTCACATGTCTCCAACTCATCATAAATTGCCAATTTATCACATATTGTCTCATCATATATCACCATCTCATTACAAAGCCGCATGCGCCTTCAGAATTCTATCCGATGATATTATAGATTACGCCTGCAGACATGATACTTTAAATCTTAAATTTTTGTTGAGATAAACACATTCTCATTTGTGATTTTTTTTAAATATTGTAAAATCAAACCGTTGTAATAATTTACTGGCTTAAACATGATTTATTTCGATTTTATTCAGACATCTACAGAGCTTGTGAAAAATATAACCTGCTAAATGGATTCTACCCAGACCCAATCAGATGCAGCAATTTTATAGAGTGCCACTTTGGCGTCACGCACTACTATGAGTGTCCAGATGGCTTACACTTTAATGTCCAGGCTGGGGCTTGTGACCTGAGCGACCTGGTCGACTGCAGTTACAATTTTAAGTTCACGTTTACTTAAGGTTTATTTAATGGACGGAAAGTTTGTTTGTTTGTTTGTTTTTGTGTGGTAATATTCAGATGGAACAACTGTTTTTTTTTTGTTGCTTTTTTTAAAAATTTGGTTGTCTTTAATCTCTATGTACATAACTTTTTAGATTTTTGCACTTTGCGTGTGATGTCACACAACTGTTACGTTCCACCCCTGGTGTGACGGTACACAATTGTTGTGATGTTACACACATGTTTACATTTCCTCGCGTGTTCATCTCTGACATTATTTGTATAATAATGTAATCTGCAGTGTTCATGATCGGTCCTCTAACACGTTACAATAAGAACTGTCACGGCCTGGTGCAAATAGACGGATGTGTTACGTTTGCTTACCAAAATACTTGGCTGACATATTTCAATTTAACACTGTTGTTACGAGACTAATGTCAAGTTAATTATATAGTGTATAAATGGATGTATAAGCAAGCAATGTTGACGTAGCTAGATATTAAGTCTTAGAAACTCCAGCATCCTTGTTTAACTTTTTTTAAACTCAAAGTGGTAATATATTTTCTAATCATGTGGGCTTTTGTTTCTGGAGCCTTTTTATTAATCAGATAAAGAAAGAGTAAACAAGATGCTCTTTAACGTACTTTTTCCTTTTCCTTGTTTCAAAATTAAATGAATGAATGGAAGATTTGAATGATCATTGAAAATGTAGTTCGTGTGTCAAATCTCTCTCGCTGTCCCCCCCCCTCTCTTTCCGTGTCTCTTTCTCTCTCTTTCTGTCTCCCCCTCTCTCTCTCTCTCTCTCTCTTTATCACTCTCTGTCACTCTCTCTCTTTCTATGTCTCTCTTTCTCTGCCTCTCTCTATCTCTTTCTCTCTCTATGTCTGTCTCTCTCTCTTTCCCTCTCTGCCTCCATCTCTCTAACTCTCTCCATGTCTCTCTATGTCTCTCTTGCTGTCACTCTCTCACTGTCACTCTTTCGCTGTCTCTCTTTCTCTCTTTTCTCTGTCTTTTTGTTTCTCTCTCTCTCTCTCTCTCTCTCTCTCACTCTCTGTCTGTCACAGTCACCCTCTCTGTCTCGCTAGTTTTTTATGTCTGTCTCTGTATCTCTCTTTGACTCCGTCTCTCTCTGTCAATCTCTCTGTCTCGACAGCTGTCTATGTTTCTCTCTCTCTCTGTATGTATATGTCTCACTCTGTCTCCCTCTATCTCTCAATCTCTCTCTCTCTGTCTCTCTCTTTCTCATTCTCTCTCTCTTTCTTTCTCAGTTCTCTCTCTTTATCTCTTGTCTCGCTTTCTCCCTGTTTCTATCTCAGTCTCGCCCTCTCTACTATACATTTCTCTCTCTCTGTCTCTATCTCATTGGCGCTTTCTATGTGTATGTGGCGTTGGCTGCCAGCTCCATCTGTTTGGCTGCACGCAGTACCAGATGACGGCAACGTGCAACCCGCTTGCCATGCTCACCTCACCAAGTTCCAGTTTTGGACATGAAATCAAAAGATTGCAACTGTTTCAGGGAGCCATTGTGTAAGTCTGGTCTTTCTGGTCCCTCCCTTTATTGTGTTCTGGACCTTTAAAGTAGCATCGTATTGAGCACCACTAATCTTTTATTAGAAAAAAAAAAAATTCGATTTAGATAAAAAAAAAAATTAAAAAAAACCCTTTACAATGTCTTAAAATTATGAATTTTGAATATTATTTTATTAAAATTCTGTGACCCTGTGTGTTAAAAAAAAAATTATTAAAAAGAAAAAAACGAAAGCTGCAACAAAAAAGGAAAATGTGGTCGGATCTCAATGGATCCTGACTTATCCATGAACAAGGACACGTTTTTGTGGATGGGGACACGCAGTATACTTATTCCACACAGAGCAGAGGCGCTGGCTCGTCTCACAGATTAATTGAAACGTTATAAAAACACTGTCGCTGCACTGCAGGAGATAAGGTAATAATAGGGCAGGCTACACTGGTAAGGTAGGACACCATTATAGGATACCAGAACGTAGAAAGGCAACAGAGAGCTACTAACAGAATCTTAGCGGCAGGTGTCTCACCGGTCGAAAGGAAATAAGCCAAAGAAAGTGTGGGGAAACCAGAAAAGATGGCGCAACGATTCAAAGAAAGTGTCAACGAAAAGCCCTCTTTCAGCAAACAAACAACAGTTAAAACAATATAAAACTAAAATCATCACTTGAGGAATGTGACAGAACATTAGTAGGGGAGAGGTCTAATAAGGCGAAATGAGACGGAAGAGAGGGAAAGTAAGACGATTGCGAACGGTCGTAAAGAGGAGGGGAGGAGGGAGAAAAGGTTTAACGAGTGAACAAGAACATGACATTCATGTCATATGCTGTCAAGGTTCTATAAGTCTCAATCAGTGTGTTTTCCCAGGTTCACCAGGTTTTGTGAGTTTGTACAAGACTCAATGGCGGTGATAGCAAAATCCCCTCAGACTCTTGTGATCACCTCTTCCCTTGAAGTGTTTTGAGACGGGACACTGCTTATCTTGCGCAATATTACAATATATTGTAGGTGTTCAGTACATCTGTCAGAGAGGCGGCGTTGTTCACCGGTCGAACAAGACTGAGATGGGTCGTCGATGTAGAGAATGACTTACGCCCTTGCATATGGAGGCGTAAAGCCTCGGGTCAGTCTGAGTGGAAGGATATTGTGAAGCAGGCCAGCGCCCCACATTGAATGTAACGCTAATGCGCTCATAAAATCAATACAATCATTATTTTAAGCGCATTTTAAAATGTTCGACCAGAGACTAGTAAGAAAATGGGGGCAAAGATCAATGGCACATCTAGCGTATAATGCTGTTTATTATAATTTATCATATAAGCACATAAAGAGTCTATACACACAATATTTGTAATACGAATATGGGCATGTTTGCTGACAAGTAGATACAGTTAAATTATGATAGCATAAAAAGGTAATATCACACAATATGTAGATTATTATTATTATTATTATTATTATTTTGTGGTTTAAAAAAAGGTAATACCATGCCACTTTTATCAAAGGGGATTCAAGAACTGCGATCTGGGGAAGTGTTTACTGAAAATGGATTGTAGTTGAAGTCAAAATCGTAAACAGTTTTTGCAGATGTGACTAGTTTCCTATTCTTTTCAAAGAGTTTTCTTATACTCGCAAACCCATGGGGCTAGTGACTTTGAGGCATTTTTTGTTGTCGTCTTACATGACCCTATCGCTCAGTTGATCGTGGTTGGTCGTTTCGTTCTGGGAACGGTGAGAGAGGGGTGGGTAGGTGGTGGGGGTGGGCTCAGATGGGAGCTGTATGATTTTGGAGATGTATGGCTTGGAAGGGGGTAGGAGTCGGGCACATTGCAATTAGACTTGGATCAAAGGACGGCTGGAGACCAGGTTAAAAATAAACCTTTTAGCTTTATGCCAAATAAGTTAATATAAATTAAATTATGACCAATTCTGTGTACTGTTGTTGTTGTTGTCTTTTTTTTTTTTTTTTTTTAAAAAAATAATTCTTCTTTTTTTTTTTTTTTTTTTTTTTTTAAACAAATAATTCTTCTTTTGTCAATAAATTAAAGATTGAAATTTAAATAATAAAAAGTAGAAAATAACAATAAAATAATTAAACTTTCTTTTTAAGAACAAATTTTAAAAAATAAAAATAAAAAACGAGTTTTTACGAACTAAAAGAAAATAATAAAAAAAGGTGTTATATTGCATTTCGCAAACAAAAACTGTGCAGAAGAGCGAATGAGCACTCTATGTAGCCAAATGTAGACTATACAGAGGTACAAATAAGCACTCTATTTAGCCAAATATAGACTATACAGAGGTGAAGATGAGAACTCTATGTAGCCAAATGTAGACTACACAGAGGTACATATGAGCATTCTATGTAGCCAAATATAGACTATACAAAGGTGCAGATGAGCACTCGATGTAGCCAAATATAGAATATACAGAGGTGCAGATGAGCACTCTATGTAGCCAAATATAGACTATAGAGAGGTGCAGATGAGCATTCTACGTAGCCAAATATAGAATATACAGAGGTGCAGATGAACACTCTATGTAGCCAAATTATTCGAAATTAATAAAGATGAAATTTCATTATGTTATATTATCAAATTTTGAAACTATTTTTATAAATAATTTTCTCATTTTTAGTCCGTTCAAATTCGTCTTTGATAGAAAGTCTTTTTTTCCAAGGATTTTTGTCTTTGTATACAATGTTTTTTTTTTCACGCTGGTTTTTTTTTTTTAAAGTTTTGATTCCGGTGTTCCATTAATCTATAATATATAAATTCTAATTTATATCTTCATTTTTAGTCCGTTCAAATTCGTCTTTGATAGAAAGTCTTTTTTTCCAAGGATTTTTGTCTTTGTATACAATGTTTTTTTTTTCACGCTGGTTTTTTTTTTTAAAGTTTTGATTCCGGTGTTCCATTAATCTATAATATACAAATTCTAATTTATATCACAATATTATCAAGATTATCAAGTTTGGGATACATATAATGCTGACTGCATGATGGGAATCTAACAGTGTTTTAGTACTTCAAACTAAACAAAATGGTTCATCAGTCAATAAGAATATGTATTGTGCAAAGGAGAAATTGTTCTGTTGTCTGATACATTACAATTTTTTACATTTCTATAGTTCCATGTCCTAATAGAAATGAATGTTATAAAGGGTCAACTGAAACTAGGGGCATAGCTAGGGTCATGCTGCCCCAGACGGGTCAAGATCGTTTCGAAAAACTCAGCAGTGGGCCGAAAGCTCCGCCCTCCATATAATGAAAAAACGTGCTGCTTGAAGCGTACAGCCCCACCTGCCCTTTTCTTCCTGCGCCACTACCGTAACCTTATTTGTGAAACGTAAAGAACGATCCCAATGACAAAATAAATAGCCCCACGTTTTGGGTGAAAGAACTCAGTATCATTCACATCTTTGCTTAAAAGAAGCTGAAAAAAGGAACTATCAGGGGACAGGCCGCGTTTTGGGGGAAAGAACTCAGTATCCTTCACATCTTTGCTTAAAAGAAGCTGAAAAAAGGAACTATCAGGGGACAGGCCACGTTTTGGGGGAAAGAACTCAGTATCCTTCACATCTTTGCTTAAAAGAAGCTGAAAAAAGGAACTATCAGGGGACAGGCCGCGTTTTGGGGGAAAGAACTCAGTATCATTCACATCTTTGCTTAAAAGAAGCTGAAAAAAGGCATTGTCAGGGGGGAAGGCCGCCTTCATCTTGTGCGTCCTGAGCGCTGACAATCATATGGAACTGATACCGTGCAATCTGTAGTTAATCGATCTTATGAATTGAATTTCCTAGCTAGTTGTTTAAATTATAACGATGAATGAAATGAAACATGTATTTTTTGTAGGCATTACACTAATCCATCTAAATGTTAGAGGAATTAGGTAGCAACTACCGGAGGACAGCGATGTTATATAATTACAACCTCTAATTTAAGAAAACTGTATAGCTAATAAGTTTAGCCTTTAATGATACCCAATAAATCATGTGCTCTTAACGCATGCTTCGTGGACCCAAGCGTGCACATGTTCACGGGGGTAGGTGAGTTGCATCTATTGTTTATTGTTATTTTTATGAATTTAAAAACACAAAGCTAAAAAAAAAAAAAAAATTAGTGACTTTTCATACGTTTAGAATATTTTCTTGTAAAAAGAAATCATTTGACTAAAAATCAAATGATTGTCATTTATTACATGACATATATTTCATGCTCTTTTAAAACGTTTGTGAAGTAGCTTCAAAGCATTGTCCCTACACATGAACTTAAAGTTGATTGTTGAAAGCTTTGACAGGGGATGGTTTCATGACGGTGGATTGCAAAAATCCACGCACGTATTCTGTCTTCTCCTTTTTTAAAAAATTCACCCAACTGATAATCAAAACGCAGATCGGTTCAGTTGCACGATATTCGTACAAACTTCCACCCAATCAGACAATGCGGTCGGCTGATAAGCTGCGCGGACCATATAAAAGAAGTCTGGATATCAGAGGACGCTACTCGAATTTGAATTTCCACGAACTGTGCCATGGCCAATCAGAACGTGTTCATTTTGGTTTCACTGGGACTGCTGGCCTGTCTTGTGAGACTAACGGGTAGGAAACTTTTAGTTCAAATACATGAAATTTATTTTTGACCAATAATTTTTCTTAGTTGAACTTAAAATTATTTTTAAAATATCAACATATAAAAAAACTCCATTAATAAAATTAATGTTAGTTGACTAAAGTTATATAATTGTAGCGTTTTCTGCCAGACAATTAAGGGCATAATATACCTGTGAGTTCGGAACTGAAAGAATATTATTCATTTAAAATATGAGAGTTACTTTTTTTCATTGATCCAGTTTTAATGAATAAATGGCTCTACTCGTTTGTGGCCCGGTTTGGGGGGGGGGGGGG